TCCCTTAGTGTATAAGACATACTCATACCTGGATAGACCCGTGGATCTTTTTTTTTTTTAATTCTCTCACTATGTTTCCCTTATGTAAAGTCTTTTCAACAAACCCATAAATTTCAGAGATGGGGCCTGACATGACAAAGATAACCAAGTCAAGCTCACCTAGGAGTTTGCATACAGGCGATGGAGGGTCCTAGAGCCTAAATCAGCCAATCAGCCTGTGACACGACACACTCCCTGGGGGCTCTCTCCATACTAATAGGGGCTGAAGGCAAGGGCCTGAGGGCTGGAGCCCCCACCCTGATTTACCAGGGAAGCCATCTCCTCTTTATCCTTTTCCAAGAGAGTTCCATAAATGTCTTCCTGTCCTTAAATTTAACGCCTTACTGATATGGAGTTTACAAATCCCAGTGAGCCGCCGCAGCCATTCTACCTCCATAAGGTGCTCCTGCCATGAGTCTCTCCAGCCCTGATGCCGATGCTCCATCCATGCCAGGGCAGCTCACTACCTGAGCATAAAACTAAACTTCCTAGCTTGGCATTCACACCGTCCAGTTGGGCAGTGTCCACAATTCCGGGGCCCCTTTCCGATTCCCAGTCACACATTCCAGACCATACATTGCTGTTTCTCTCGCTCAGGACCGTTTCCCGCCAGACCATAATGTGCGACACAGCTTAGGCCGCATCTCCCTCACTCTCCTCACCCCACCGGAACTCAGCACCATCCATGCCCGACATGTAATAGTAGCTAAGTGAGCAAGCTACAATTAAACACTATTGATTAGTATTTTACTCAGTTAATCTATCGTTCACATACCTGTGTCAGAAGGCTTCTAGCTGGGAATACCAGGAAAGAGCAATGGACTAGAAATCAATTGAGAATTTGACTGCAATCCTGGTTTTACCATTTTGTAACCATGTGATCTTGGCCAAAGCTCTTAATCCTTCCAGTCCTGTTTCCCCAAGTGATAAATGTATATACTGATCTCTATCTCACTTGAATGTCTCAACAAGGGTTTTAATAAAGTAGCAATATTTCCCAAACTTTGAGTTTTTTAAATTTTTAAATTTTAATTTGTTTCTTTGAGACAGGGTCTTGCTATGAAGCCCAGGGTGGCACTGTATTCACGATGACCCTCCTGCCTTAGCCTCTTAACTGCAACTACTGGGATCACAGGTGTGCACCACCATGCCCAGCAAGGTATTTATATATTTCACAATTTCTGCCATATGGGCATACTACTAATTTAATATTTTCCTTCAATTCTATTTTGCAAACTTTAGTTTCTTAAGCAATATTTTTCTAATAAACCATTGAATAAAAAGAACTCCAGATGTGGTGTTGTGCACTTGCTGTGATCCCAGCACTTGGGAGGCTGAGACAAGAGGATCTCCACAAGTTTGAGGTTGGTCTGGACTACACAGTGAGTTCAAGGCCCCGCTTGAACTACTCCATAGTGAGACTCTTGTCTCAAAAAAAACAAACAAACAAACAAAAAACAGGGCTGAGGATGTAGTGCCGTGAGAAGGCATCGGATGCAATCCCCAGTACTAGAAAAAACATTAAAAGAAAACACACCACCAAAATGACATGGTCATAGATACTTAATACAAAAAATGAGGTTAGCAGGGTCTTGAAAATAGCCAGTTCAAGGGCCAGGATTTAGCTCAGTGGTACTGCTGTCTGCCTCACATGCAAGTTCCTGAGTTTGATCCCTGGTACCAAAAAAAGAAAAGAAAAAGAAAATAACCAGTTCAGGCCAGGTGCGGCAGTGTGTACCTGTAATCCCAGCACCTGACAAGAGGACCCCGCAAGTTCAAGACCAGCCTGGCCTATACAGTGAGCCCATGGCCAGCAAGATCCTGTCTCCAAAAGCAAAAAGTAAATTAGTTAACTAAAATAGCTGGTTCATCTCAGTGGCACCACACCTGCCTCACAGTACCAAAAATAAATAAATACATACATACATAAAGTGACAATCTAAAATTGGTTCTTTTCTTTCTTTCTCTTTTGGCAGCACTGGGGATTTGAACTTTGAACTCTCAGCCTTTGCACTGCACTGAGCTACATGCCAAACCTTTTTAAAAATTTATTTAGTAACAGGGATTAAACTCAAGACCTTGTGCTTGCAAGGCAGGCACAGTGCCACTGAGCTACATCCCTGGCCCCTTAACCCTTTTTAAATTTTTCATTTTTGAGACAGTCTCAGTGGCTAAATTGCCTAGGCCAGGGTTGAATTTGTTATTGCCCTCCCTCAGCCTACCAGAGTGCTGGGATCACAGGCATATATCATTCATTAGACCTGACTTCATAGTGGTTTTTTGTTTTGTCTTTTGAGACAAGGTCTCTATGTAGTCCAGGCTGGCCTCGAACTCACAGTGATCCTCCTGCCTCAGCCTCTCAAGTGCTGGGATCACAAGTGTGTACCACACCCAACTCATAGTTAGTTCTGCCTGTCTGTTTGCTTGTTTATGTCTTTCAGTACCGGGATGGAACTCAGGACCTTGCGCTTGCAAGGAAGGCAGGGCGCCACTGAGCTAAATCCCTGGCCCTCATCTTTGGTTCCCAATAAACACTGACAGACCCTGACCTCTCTGACGCCCTTAACCTTCTGTGGTCTCTTTTATCCGTTATCATCTTCTCTGTTCTCAGCCTCTCTTCCCCAGCGCTGAGCTCACACGCTCTGATGAAGAAACCAAGCCCCAAACTCTTACCAATACGCTTCCATCTTCAGGGTCTGTCACCAACGTCATCCCCAGGTACTTGGAGGTGCGGTTGGAACCTGCAGGCACCAGAAGGCTGGTCTGGAAGAAGCTGCCCCAGGCCCCTTTCGAGGGGAGCCCACCCCGCTGCCCCCCGCCACTCACCGGTCAGGTGGACGGGC